CCTCTCAAACTGCTTTCAGCCCTTTCCCTCGTGGGGGCGATGCAGTGGTGGTGCTGTGACCTAACGAGGACGCAGGCCAAGAGCTCCAGAGCAAGCAGCTTGCTGGTCCAGCAGGCTCTGAGCCTTCCTCCAAGGAAGGCTTTGCTCTCCTTCAACCTTCAGTGCTCTGCTTACAGTTCTGCTGGTGGCACTGGGATGACCCTGGGGGCAACTGCAGGCGACTGCTGGGAGAACTGGGAAACGTGAGCAGCCTCTTGCACACGCTGTTCCAGAATAACACTTGGAGTTTATGGATGCTTGAAGAATATTCTGTAGTTATTTCTGTATTCACGACCGACTTTCATCCCCTCGGTCTCCTGCTGTGCTACTTTTTTGCCAGTTCTTTTCCAACTAGAAAGGAAATACTCCTTGGGTTCTTAAGCTCTGTGTAGACAAAGCAGCAGTTTGTTTCATCATCTGTGCTGGCTGCTGGGCTGCGAGCCTCGTAAGGAAACCAGCGTGATATGGATCTGCTGCTTTTGGACACTGGGACTCCAAATGGAGTCTGAGGAGAGGAAGGGGCTGGGAATGGGAGCGCTGCCGTGCCACCAGCATTGCTCCTTGCTCCCAGCAGGATGTGTGGCTGAACAAGTGCCAGCAGATGCTCCAGAGTTTGGGAAATGAGTGCGTGATCATTGCACGAGCGGATGGATTTGCAGATCACCTCTGATTCAAAGCACAGCCACGCTGCTCCTTTGGGTAATGCCCTGCAGGGAAGGTTTGTCCTCCAGGAAGGCGCGAGCCGCAGTTCCCTCATGCAATATATTATACAGCAGTATAACTGTTTTGTGCAACACAATAGAAGAGCCAAAGTGGCCAGAGTGCCTGCGATTAAACGTTTAATTATGGCTGAAGTGTGCTGTGCTGCGAGAGGCCAAATGTGCCGGAGACACATTTACTGCAGGGTTGTGCTGAGCTCATCTGGGACCATTTGACTTTTAAACGAGGTGCAGCACAGAACGCTGGCTAACCTGCCTGAAAGCATTACTGTAAGTAGGTGAGCGCATTTGGCAGGTTAGCAAAACCCTTTGGGACACAATCCTGATGTTCTTTTGTTCTTCAGCTTGCAGTTCCCAGGGTGCGTGGGGTGGTTAATGGGATGCCTGCACTGCTCTGCCTCCGCAGGTGACCTTGGCGCTGTAGGACCCCATTCTGGGCTGTGGTGAAGCTGTGGGTGCTCAGTTTGTGCAGCTTTCTCTGCCTGGAGGAGAGCAGAGCTCGTCGTGCCCTGGTGGCTCTGCTGCGGGTGTGTGGGAATGAAATACCTGGTGATGGGCTGCCAGGAGCCAGGTGGGGCGGAGGCTGGCACTGAGGGAGAGGTGTTGCACCTGCAGTGCTCAGATTGAGTTGAACAGTTTCCTTGTATTGAGAGATAAGGCTCTATAGGACGTGTAATCAATCCGAGCCGACTCGCTGGGTAAGTAGGGCACTGCTGGAGGGCCTCAGCCCAGACCTGACGCTCACGTCGCCCTCTGCAGTGCTGCTTTCTGTCATTTGCCACCTGATTTCAGTAGTGGATCTCATTGGGACTGAGAGAGAAGCCTCTTCGGGAGCAGAGGTACGAATGCTTGTTTTAAATGGAGCCATTGTTGTTAGCATTTTTTTGGGTCACACAGCAGCAATGCCTGCGGATGAATGGCAAACCCAGCCCTTGGGTTGGATGCTGCTGCTGATGCTGCTGCCCTCACAGTGGGGTTGACTGAACAAAGCTGCTCTCTGCACAGTGTTGGGAAGGAGCCCAGCTGTTTTCTGGAGGTGGTTTTCGTCTCCTCAAACACAGCATGAAATCCACGTCCTGGAGTGGCTTCGTGCTGGTGTGGGGCTGAGCCAGCCGTGACGGGCAGGTGATAACCACAGGTTAACGGGTGTGAGGAGAGCTTGGGAAAAGCAGCCCTCCATCCTGGCTGTCCTTGCTTTCTAAAGGACTTGGCAGCTGGTTTTTGGGGATGTTTCATTCCTCTGTGCCTTACAAATGATGAGTGCCTCCTGCGGGTGGCACAGCGCCGTTCCTTCCGACTGAGCGCTGCAGTGCTGCGGCGCGGCCGCCGGGGGGCGATCGTGAGTCGGCCGGGGGGGGGGGGGGGGCGGCCGGCGGAGCTCCGGGAAATAAATAATGGGGGGAAATAATGGGGGGAAATAATGGGGGGAAATAATGGGGGAAATGGGGCTGCGAGGAGCTGGGGAGGTCGGGAATAATAAGGGGGTGTTTTAGGGGATGCAGCGTGTCTTCTTGCGAGGAGCACAGCGGCCGGCTCTGTCTGAGCGCAGCGTGTTGCAGGGGTTAAGTTGCATTTCACTTCGGGGAGGGATGGAAAATCTCTCCAAGTAATTAACTTAAGATGCCGATGCTAATGAAGGGCTTTCAAAGCTGGGGCTGTTTGGGGTGGGGGGGGAATCCCCCGTTGAGTCGATGGCAGCGGGGCCTAAGGAGTGATGCTGCAATTATTAGGCTGAAATGATGTTGAACACGAAGCTAATCCCGTTATCTTGCAAATATGGAGGAAACTGCTTGCTCCGGATAGCTCTGTAATGGGATTATTGCAGCGAGTGGCACCCCTGACATTCCCTGTCTGCTCGGGGTGAAGCATTGATCAGCACTGAGCAGCCTTCCCGTGGGGGGGCTGTGGGGCACTGCAGTATTTCTGTTGGAGGAAAAAGCAGCTTTGACGCTGAGCAGCCTCTCATCTTGAAAAGCCATTCCGTCCTCTGCAGCAGAGATCCCTGGAGCCCATCTCTAAGGCAGAGAGCTGAAGGACGAGGATGAGACGAGGCAGCCGTTTGCCTTGCCTTCCTGGCGCCGTGTCCCCAAAGCATCGGGTCGCAGTGTGAGGGGTTTGCAGTGCAGCAGGTCCCGAGGAGCCACGAGGATGCTGTGAGGATGGAGCCCTCTGCTATGGGGAGGGGCTGCAGGAGGTGGGGATGTGCTGAGCACCGGTTGCTGGGGGTCTTCAGAAGCATTGTCCCGGGGGTCCTTAAGCCATCTGTGTGATCCACTGCTGTGTCAGCAGTGCAGGAGAGCACAAGAACCAAGGGCATCCGGCAGCAAGGAGAGGAAGGCCTAAGGAGCGAGCCTGCCTGGCTTGGCTGTGAGCTTGCTAGCTCACATACCTGGAATTGCAGCACGCTGTAACTCTTAGGCTGCACGAGTTGAGAAGGTGAGCAAATATTTGCAGAGCTCGTGGCTCAGGCTGCAGTTGCAGCTGGCTGTACCACAGGCGCTCCCAGTGGGCTGTGACAAACATCCATATGTTCCACCAGCAGTGCAGGAGTGCTGTCTGCTGGTCTCAGTTTGGGATTTTTAGGTGCTGCTTTGGGATCGGGATGCTTGTTGCCAGGCAAGGTGGCTGTGTTGGGCCCCAAGAGCAGCACCAGGGCAGAGGAGTCGGTGTGGGAGATGTGAGGGGTCCTACTTGCAGTAGGCAACAACCTCAGGGAGAGAGCTTGCTGCAAGGTGATGACGAGCCGTGCCTCCCAGGCTGTTGGTATTATCTAATCCTGGGCCGTTTCCTTTAATTATATGAAATGTCCTTGACACTGTAAACAATTGCCATGGCATTGTCTGTGCAGAGCTGTGAGTCAAAGATGACGCATGACCAGTGTTAGGTTTGGGGACCGGAGCTGGGCTGGGTGCTCCACACTCACGGCTGCTCCCGGCACAAAGCTGAGGCCGTGGGGCTGTGCTGCTGGAGGGCACGCAGGGCTCACATCCAGCTTCACATCTGGGCAGTTTCACTGCCCTCTCCGAGGCAATCGGGTTCCAAAGGGGTGAGGAAGGGGACGATCCGCAGCGCTGCAGTCCTGCTGGCGCCACAGCATTTGCTTGGCACGGTTCAACCTTCGGCCTCGCTGCTGTGTGCTGACACCTGCGTGCTGCCTGACAGCGATGTGTGGGGCTGGGCTGGGGGTTGAGCTGGGTGCTGGCGGGGTGGCACTGCTGCCATGTGCCACAGCTCCTGGGAGCCCCATGGGACTGAGCTCCCCGTCGTTATCTTGGTGCTTAAATAGAGGACGAAGCTTGTATCGACGTGAATCACAAAGTTGATAAACTGGAATGGTTCCTCAGAGCTGTCTTCTTGCATGGGGCAAATATTTATCCGCATTGTTTCAGAAGGCAGATTTGTGCAAGTCGGAGGTCAGGCCTGTCGTTACAAGGCACGGCGTGCTTGGAAGGAGCTGCTGTGCCTGGTGTGTGCATCTAAAGCAGCAGTTAGAAAGAAATGCCAACTGTGGGTGAGATCCAAGCTGCACGGGTGCAAAAGAAAAAGAAAAAAGTGGTATTTTTCTTGTTGGCTCGAAGGGAGCGAAGCCAAATCCGTGTGCTGTGCCCTCCAGTTCCTGCGCCACGGCAGGAAACTTGGTTTTCTCTTCCAACCGAATCTGCTCGAGATGATCAGAAGCTGAGATTGTGTGCCAAACTCGCCTTGCATTTTAATGAGGAGTTTCTGGCCTGGTCGATAATGAGGGCAGAGCAGGTGCGGTGGAAGCTGGGTGTTCCCCAGCAGCAGAACCATGGGGCTTTTGTGAGCCTCCCTGGGCAGAGCCAAGCGCGGGGCGGTGGGATGCCCTGGCACCGGTGCTGCCTGCTGGTAATGGGGAAAAAATGTGACTTCAGAGCGTGGCTTGGAGGTGTTGAAGGGTAATTGGGCTTCTTGGGGCCTGCAGCGAGCACCGTGAGGCAGAGGACGTGCTGAAATGCCGTGCTGCAGTTTGGGGTTTTGGGGATGAGGGGCGTGTGTGCTTTGTGAGGCTTCTGCCAGGCCTTAAAAGGAGGAAATGGATCCAAGTTGAAGGAGGGAAGATTGAGGTTGGATGTTAGGGGGAAGTTCTTTACAAGGAGAGCGGTTGGGCCCTGGAACGGGCTGCCCAGGGAGGTTGTGGATGCCCCTTGGCCGTGTTCAAGGCCAGGTTGGACGGGGTCCTGGGCAACCTGATCTGAATGTGTGTGTTTGGTGGCCCTGCTGGGCAGGGGGTTGGAACTGCGTGATCCTTGAGGTCCCTTCCAACCCGGGTGATTCTGTGATTCTGTGAAATGAGGCTGCTGGTGATCCTCCTGCCCTGCTCATGGCACATCTGCAAGGACTGCGGGTAGGAGAAGAGCTTTGGGATGGCGGCTCTGGCGATGAACGTGGGCAGAGCTCCCTCCTGCTGTTCATTTGCAGCCTGCAGTGCTTTGCAGAGCCTGTCCTGTCCCATTGCCTTACAGGTGACCCTTTGCCAGAGGGCTGGGTTGCCTGCCATAACATCAGCGTAAAGCCACGGGGTGTTGGAGCAGGGCATGCTGAGTGTGCTGGGTTTGCCCAGGAGGGCAAGCAGCTGAGAGTGTGCACTCATCCGGGTCAGTGGGAGAGGTGCTGAACCAGATCAGACCCCGTGCAACCTCTGGAAGGAGAGGGGTGTGCTGGGTTTGTGCTGGAGCTGGGCGTTCTGTCTGGCTTTGCTTCCAGTGCTGTGCAACAGGAAGCCTTGGGTGATGATGCTTGGTGGGTTCTTCTCTTTGTGTTTGTTGTCTGAGGGTTTTAATGGGTAAAATAGGAGTTAAGCTCAATGCTGTTTCTTCCCTAAGCAACAGAATAATTAATGTAATGTTCTCCATGTTTCTGCTTCACGTTTTCCTAATAATATAGCTGCAAGTGACAGATGGGCATCTCGCCTCCGAGCGCTTCGCTGTTGGGAATATGCTGTTGCTTTGCTGGAATGCATCCTGTATCTGTGCTTCCTCTGGCTTCTGACCAGCGCTCCTGTTCATGCTGCTTCAAGGTGCTCCAAAAAGTCATTTGTTGGCTTTGGAGGTTCCCTTGCTGAAGGACAGCCTGGCTGTGAATCACCACAGCCCTCAAGTTGGCTGAGATGGGAGCGAATCTTTAATTTTCAGGATTACATTCCTTAGCATTCCCTCATCTGTAAACAGGAAAATATTTAGCATATGCGGTAAGTAATTAGGGCGAATGGTGAGGAGGCATTGAAGGTATGTTTTTTCAGTGCTCCCATTGCAAGTCCCGCGTCTTCCATTGGGAAACAAGGCTAGGGGGTGCCTTGACCTCACATCCTTCTCTTAGAGCTGTTACAGAGCTCCCTGGGACAGGTGAGTGCTCCTTTTGTTCCTCTGAGGATTCCAGCCGGGCTTCTCCTTCTCCAGCATGACATGGCTGCGCTCAGTGCAGCTCGGCTCCTGGGCTGCATGGGACCACGTTGGCTGTGGGCTGCTGACATCCCTAGCAGGGAGCACGTGGCATCAGGGTGCTGCCTGGTGTGCCAGCCCCATCGCCACCTCACTGATCCACTGGTGGGGACGAGGGGACGGGAACACTGCGACATGGGAGTTTCCCATTTGGAAAAGTCTCAGGAAGCACGGAGGAAATCACATGGCTTGGGAGCACTTACCTCACTGCTCCGTCTCATCCAACGCAGCAGCTTTCATCAAAGCATGCAGGACCCGAACAATGCAGTGCCAGCTGGCTTATAAATAAACGTGCTTCCGTTTCCACACCAGGATGGCTTTCATACCACATGAGGGGAAAGGAAGAGCGTCACGTTGTTGGCTTGTGACCTTTGAGCCCCAACCACCGGGCTGCAACGGGTGACTCCAACTCCTCCGCATCTCCTTCTGAGCACAGTCCAGAAATGGGCACCTCCGTGGGCAGCCTCGTCTTGTTTTCACACCCGTTTCTCATTCTGCCAACCCGCTGAGCTTGGCTGCTGAACAGATTGCCATGGAGGGCATCCACAGCTGGCTGTCCCCTCTTCTCCTCCCTTCAGCCCCGGCACGATGCTCCTGTGGGCATTGGGAATCCCCATTGGGATTCAAGTGGGAGCATTTTTGGGCTTCCTGCAGTGACTGCCGATGGGCTGGGAAGGAAAACGCCCAGTATTGCTGGGCTCACAGCACCGGCTCCATCCGCAGGGTTGGGTAATGCAAAAGTCCTTAATGTGCCCATGGCTGAATCATGGGATGTCAGTGCCTGAGTCACTGGAGATGAATGCGGTGTTTCACGTCGGTGCGAACTGAAATGTGAACAACAGTGTCTCTAATAGAGCAGCTAATAATACTTGTGCTCATTACGGGTTTCATTCGATTTTTAAAGTGAAACAATCAGGAAGAGGTTCCTCCTGCATTGTGCGTGGGCAGGTTGGAAGTGCTGCAGTGCTGGGTCTTACTGGGATGCTGCTCTGGGTGCAGAGGAAGGGAAACTTGAGAGGGGAGCACCTGTGTGATGCACCCTTGCACCACGCGTGGCTCTTTCCCCTGGATGTGCTTGGCTGGGGGCTGAGCTGTGCAGCCCCGGCTGTGGGCAGTCACAGATTTGCCCCGTGCCCTATGGGGAGCAGTGGGCTGCTCCCATGCTGTGCTGAGGCAGGTGTCTGCATTAACAGCTGATGTTGCTTTTGGGTCGAATTTCTGCTGTTCCGTTGCTCTGCTGTCCTCCTCCCCGTGTTCCTCCCCCTGAAAGAAGAGTTGCAGCTGCTATTCTTCAAGTGTCTGAAGCCCAAACCAAAGCTGCAGATCTGCAGATCTTTGCTCTTCGAGCAGCACAGCTCTGCAAGCATCAGCGAGCAACAACATTGGTGAAGCCTCACTGATGGCTCATGAGACCTCATCAGTGGTGCAGGGACGTGGCAGTGGTTTGCTGCCCGCTTCTGTGCGCTCACAGCCCTGAGAGTCACTGAAGCACTGAATCTCTGTGGCTGTGCCAGCTTGTGGGCTGCCCCACTGCAAACGGAAACCTTCCATTGAAACCTAAGGGTGCTTTACTGGTGTAGAAGAAAGGGTTGGGTGTTGATATGCTGCTGTGCTTTAGCAAGCTGTGCGCTCTTTGGTCGCTACGAATGCAGCGTCAACTGCACTGAGGCTCTCTGGAAGTTGGGCAGCTGCAGAGCGAGTGTGCTGCTCTGCAGCAGGGAGGTTCTGCCCATCTCCTCCCAGGGTGTGCAGCTGATGCGCAGTTTGGAGAAGGCATCCAGCCTCTGATCTCTGAGCTTTATGGGCCTTCGCCGGCTGGCTGTGGATTTAAATGGCCTTAAAATGGCTTTTTTCCTTTGTGTCAAAACAGAGAGCCTGCGAGTCCGTCTGTCCTCATCAGGCTGCCAGGATGGGGCAGGAAGACGGGCTGCTATCTGAGCACAGAGATGGGGCCGGAGGTGGGTGGGTGAGAAGAGCAGCCGTGCTGGGAAGCTGATGGAGGCGGTGGAATTTGCTGGTCCGCCCACCTCTGTGCGCTGATCCTTCGCTCCTCCACCTGCTGCTGCTGCCCTGCTGCTGACGGAGATGTGGGGCACTCTGTCCTCCCTTGTGGTTGCAGCTGTGCTTCAGCAGGGAGTGCAGCAGGCCGTGTGCTGGCACGTGACAAGGCAGCAGAGGGGCTGAAGGCGCCGGTGTTTCCCAGGTGTGTTTGTCCCTCAGGTGGGGATCTCAGATGTCACAGCTGTCCCTTCTTCCTTTTGGGACCAGCTCCCACCCCACACGTGGGTCAGGTGCTCCTTTGGGTTCCTCTGCTTGCTCCCAGCTGTAAGTCACCAGGATCCTAATGAATTCTGATGGCAAACCAACGAGAATCCAAGTGGATGTGCTTGAACTCTGCTGCGACGCAAAGGGTCGGGGGATGCTTGCAGCTGGAGCTGTCGAGACGGGACACGAATTAAAAAGAAACTCTCCTATTTTCCTTTTTAAAGAGCAGTTCTCCTTGGCGAGATGGAAACGAGAAAGTGCCCTCCCTGCTCCTGCCTTCCTCCCTTTAGCTTTAGCAGAGAGAGAACTGACACTAAACCGCGTTTTATTGCACGTCTGCCTCGATGCGCGTCAGCACCGGCGCTCCTTTTGAGATCCCCTTTCATCTCAGAGCAGCGCAAGCTCTCCGTTGCTCAGCGTGCCAAGCTTTCTCACTCAGGATGGTGCAGTTTGGGTTCGGGTTTGTGCCGTAGCGAAGCCCCAGCTCTCCTCGCTCCCGGTGAGGAAGGAGCGAGGGGTGTTGATGCTTTGGGTTGTGCAGCTCAGTGGCTGGAGCGTGGCTGTCTCCTCCCCTTCCTGAGCTTCAGCCCCAGCCAGCACAGCTCTGGAATGACAGGCATTCCTGCGCCAGGGGAGCTGGCATGGGCGCCTATTTATGAGAATCAAGTGCCTGGGGAACAGGGAGCGGGACCCGCGTGGCCCACGGGCCGCCCCGCGGCTGCTTCTCCTCAGGCAGCTCCGCTCAGGCCGTGTTGGACCCCTCGGGTGTGGGGTGACCCTTTTGCAGGACCCCGGTGCTCTCCCGGGGTTTGGATTCCTTCCTTTCTCCTCCCGCCGCCTCCCGGAGAGCGGCTTGGGAAGGGATCTCATGGGGCAGCCGCGCTTCTCCAGACCGGTCCATCCAGCTGCTGCGGGTGAGTAATGGAGGGCGAGGGAACGGCGGAGACGTGGGGCAGGAAGGCTGCAGGTGGGTCGAGGTGGTGGGAGCTGGGGGGATGCGGGGCCGGGAGGAGCCCACGGCAACGGCTCCGCTTCCTTCCGCTTCTCTCCCCCGGCGCCGGGCTGCAGGCTGCGTTTTTGGGATCGCTCATCCCTTACCTGCGTGGCTCAGGGTTCGTCCAGCGCTGGTGCTGCGGTGAAACTCCCCCAGTGCCGCGCTGGGAATCGGCCCCGGGGGCTTCCGAGGGCTGCTTCCTTCGGTGCAGGCTGTCCCAGCACTTGGGGGGCAGCTGCAACGGTGCTGGGGGGGAGAAAGGCCTCGACAGCCGCCCACCTGCTGCTTTCTGCATCTCAGAGTTTGAGGGGATGAGGTCTGGTGGACGGGGATTGCTGACCGGTGCCCAGGGCTGCGATGCACAGAAACGAGGACGATGCTGTCACCTCGCACTGAGCTGCTTGCTCTCTCCGTTCCCTAACGTGGAATTTGCTGATATTTGTACTGAAACAGCTGACCCCCTCCCTCAAGGGTCTACTGTTCTTTTTCACTTTTGGAACTTGGAACCTCCCAAGTGTTGTTTGGGCACAGATGAAACCGGTGGCTTTTCTTTGCCACCCCCGGGTCGCTCCGGCCGGTCGTGTTCAAGAGCTGCTAAAAATAAGTGGTGCTGAGGGAGAGTGGAAGGGAGAAATAGGACTTCAGCCTCCTCTGTACGGTCAGGAGCCATCAGCAGCATCCCCTTGGGTCTGGGGGCTGTCAGGAGCCCCTTCTGCTCTTTCTCCCAGCCCAAGCACCAGATATTGGTGATTCTCAGGGGAAGGGGCTCTCCTGGTGCAGGTCTGTGGGTTTGGGGGTTCTGCTGCTGCTCATGGGCTGCCTGAAGCTGCTCTGTGAGTGCAGTTGTAGTGGTTTAAGGTCGGGGTTCTCCTCTTTCCTGGGCCGTTCAGGCAGTGGACACAAAGCTTTTCAGGCTGCTCTCAGAAGCAAGCAGCGTCTGTCCAAAGAGTTTCCTTAATACTTCAGCCTTAATGGTATTTCCATCAGAAATGTGTGCTGAGATGATGGGGGCAGAGCAGCCCAGGGCTCTGCGGAGGCTTGGGGAAGGAAAGCAGTGTGTCCTCAGCCTCCTCCTACCAGCTTCATCCTGCAGCTCTGTCCCAGGCCTTCCTTGAAGGAGGATTGTGCCACTTTGTTCGTGAAATGAGCAGCTTCCCCCTGGGCCGTTTGGAAATGTCGGATGAATTGTCAGGATGAATTGTCAGCATCTGTTTAGGGATGCTTTGGTTTCTTCCCATCCTTCAGCTGTGCTTTGTTTGGGTCTTGAAGTGATTTTCAGCTCATGTCGTGATGTGCCAGCCGAAAACAACACCGACTCCTCCCTGGTTGTGCTGCTCGTGGTGGTGTGTGGCCCAAATTAAAGCAGTTTGAAAGCTCCCCAGGACCCACTCCATGCTGGCCGCCCTTCAGCACAGCTTGGTTCTGATTGTAACTGCTCTTATGCTCTCCACCAGAGCTGCAGGTCCCTTCCCTCTGAGCTGCAGCCCTTCCCAGAGGGGCGGCCTGTGGTTGGTGCCATGCCTGGTGCTGGGCTCAGCACTGAACCAAAGATTCTTCTGGAGCTTGATTTGAAAGGTGAGGGTCAGCTCTGCCTGCGCCCAGCAGCTCCTCCTGCCTGGGATGGCGGTGAGGCCATCGAACCTTCAAACAGAGTCCATGTTTCCTAAAGGCTGGCCCCATCACTGCTTGCAGTGTTTCCAGCTGCCCCACAGATCACAGCTCTGCCACTCTGACCCAACGAGAGCTGACTGTGCCGTGGCAGGAGGAAAAGCTTCGCTCTGCTCAGCAGTGACGCAGCCCCACGCCTGATGGCAGCTTTGGGAAGGGACGGCACGCAGCCCCTTGCTGACCATGACGTGTTGCAGCCCACCTGCGAGGCTGCAGCTGCTCCCGCTGACACAGGAGAAACATTGCAGCAGAGCGGCCTTGCACAAGAGCTCACACCTAGCTGGGGTGCAGCAGGAGGAGAGCTTTTCTCTGATGGCATTTTAATTGCGGGAGTGGAGCACAAACGCATGGCAGTTTGCAGGGGGGGGGTTGGCACCCGGTGGCTCCGTGCCTGAGAGCCGCATCCCTCCTTGTTGGTGCGGCCTGAGGATGCAGGAAGAGGCAGAAAGCTGCAGCAGTGCCCGTTTTTGGGATGGATCCCGAGCTTGTTTCAGTCTGAGCATTTTGCTTAACGCCAATCTGCTGCTTGGACAGCTCCCATTCACCCGGTCCTTGTGGTGGGAGAAGATACAGGCAGGGTGTTTGCGGGTGGGGGGACAGGGCACAGCCCCCAGCCTCCTCCACCTGCTGGGTTGTGAGGCGTGGGTTGGGGCAGGCGTGGAACCGCAGGCTTCCCCAGCTTGAAAGGGACCCCATGGGCCACCAAGCCCAAATCCGGCCCCACACAGCACCACCCATGGCTGAAAGCAGTGAACAGCCCCCTCCTCTCGCTCCCTGGCAGTGCTGGGCCTGATGCACCACTGCAGCAGGCTTTACTCCAAGGTTTTCCTATGCAGGAAGGGGTGCCTGGGGGGCTCCCCCAGCTCCAGGGCTGTGTTCCTGCAGTGGGCATTTTGCAGAAAGGCTAAACCAGGTTGTTCTGCAGCGCTGAGACCCGCTTATTGGAAAGCTCTTGACCTTCTAATGAGGACTGCCAGCTTCGCCCAGGCCTCCAAGACCTCATTTAACCTTTGTAAGAAATTTAAAACAGGTTTACCAGCCTGGGACAGCAGTGGGGCAGGTTCCTTCAGCCTGGGTGCTGAGCGGAGCCAGGCCCACCACATCTCTTGGTGTCAATTTGAGCTGGGAATGGGCCGTGGCTGGCACAAAAGTCCTTTTCCAGGGCAGTGTGAGCACTATCCTGAGCAATCACTGAACAATGAGGGTATTTAAAACGCAGATGGCTAAAAGCACACCTACAGCAGCTGATCTGCCTGCTAATTAGCAGCGAATGTTAATTCATAATTGCATCATAACAGACTGTTTTAAACGCCCGTGTCAGCGTGGTAATTAAGGGATGGTGGAAGGAAGAGTGGAAGGGATGGTGGGTTGTGGGTCCTCCTGGAAGCAGCCTGGCCCTGGCACGGGGCAGAATGCATCCATACAGCCTTAGGGGGATGGTTTGGGGACATCAGTGTCACCCCAGGGGCTGAAGGTGCCATAAGGTGGGCACGCTGTGCTGGGCTCCATTCTGCCCAGGGTGGAGGGGATGCTGAAAACAATGGTTGTGGCCTTACGCTGGCACAGCGTCTGCCCCTCTGCTCCTCCTCGCTGCTGCTGTTGGGCACAGAGCTGAGCACAGAGCACCAAAACCCGCTGTTTTCACGTTGTTTGAGAGCTGGTTCTGAGTGCAGTCCCACAGGCTGGTGGGGCAGCGTGGCAGGCAGGCAGAGCTGCGTTGGATGTCAGCGCTGAACATCGCAGCAAAACCTGGCTGGTGGATCCACCTGCGCGCCTGGCACGAAGCTCCACCCTGAGAGGGCATCCAGCAGCAGTTCCTCCCCTTGGGATCAATCTTACTCGGGGGCTTTTCCCCTCTGTTCAGCTGCTCCTGGTGCAGGAATGTGTGTCTTCTGCATTCTGGGGAGGTTTGGGGCGCAGGCTGGAGGCTCAGCAGCCTTCTGGGTGGTACTTGGGCCTCTGAGCATCCGACGGTTCCTCTTGGGGGTGTTTTGTGCGTCCTTCCTCCTTCCCTCCCTCTGTCCCGGCAGAAGAATCGCAGGGTAGAGCTGCAGAACGTCCTGGATTGGGGCTGACGTCTTGCACGCTGCTTCCCATCTCAATTCTCTCTTAAGGCATCGCCTTGGTGACCTTTCTTTGAGGAAAAGTTGGCTGGCGTTGGTTTTTTACCGCCTCTGGTGAGCTCTGCTAGGGGTTGGTTGGGGAAAAATAAAACAACATAATAAAAGGGGAGAAAAAATTAGAGAAGGAAAAGTTCTCCCCCAGGTGCCCTCGGCTGTGGGAAACGTGGAGCTGGGGGAGAGGAAGCGGGGCAGCATTGAGCGCCGTAGGTCAAGTCTGAAATGGCCGCAGTTGGCTCTGAAGGTCGTTCTTCCCCTCCAGTCTGCACAGCAGTGGATCCCTTCCTTGCCAACCTGCATCCTGGGCTGGATTTCCTCTTGTGCTCCATCGTTTGGTTCAGCACTGTGCTGCTCACGCAGGATCTGGATCCCAGCGTTGAAATTCCCTCTGGTTTTCCTTGTGCTGCTCCTCTGTTCCCCATCTTCATTTCAGCTGTGCATGGGGTCTGCTCCAAGCCCAAAATCCCACATCGGGCAGAGCTGCACGTAGGGCTCCAGCAAACGTCAGCACTGGGGCTTTCCTGGTTTCCTTCCTGTCCTTGGCCTGCTCTTCCCTGTGCTGACAGGGAGCTGCCTTTTCACACTGCAGCCTATCTCCACGGTGGATATTTGTGTGATACAACAATACGTTTCTAGCTCTTTGTTCTGCATGCAGCACGGCTTTCCCCTAGAATTCCTTTCCCGATCTCTTAGCCCTGGGAGAAGGGATTCTTGGCTGACCTCACCGTGTGGCCCAGGGGGTGTTGTCTTTTCTGCAGCACTCCGTGCAGGCTTTGCCTGAGACCGACTGAAAGGGCTTTTGTGATCCCAGAAGGCTTGCAAACTGCAGAGCGTTTGGCTGGAAGGCTCCGAAACGAGATGCACAAGTGCAGTCAGTCCCAGCCTGTTCTGCACACGGCGAGCGCTCCTGGATGGAGCGTGGTGCTTCTGCAGTGCTGAAGCTGTGGGGTTCTCACTCTGCAAACTGCGGCCACCAGCTGGCGTCGCTTTGCTTGTGGGCACTGTGATGTCTGCTGCAGGCAGCCCTGGTTCTGCTGATGGCAAGCAGTCCCTTACGGTGCATCGAACGCCCCATGAACAGCCACCAGCACAGGGTTCTGTGCTCCGGTTCTGCTTTGCAGGCTGTTTCTTTAGGAGCTTTCTGCTGCAGTGAGTTGGACTTTTCCTTTGTGTGCATCCCTTCCTGCCTGTGTGTCCTTCTCGTGCTGCTCTCCAGAGACCCCGTGCGCCGTAGGTGGAGCGCAGGCTGCATTGTGCTGCTTTCCTGTGGAGCTGTTGCTTTTGGCCAGCGATGCTGGCTGTGTTTCTAGAAGAAAAAGCAGCGAGGCTCAGTCCAACACCAGCAGCTGGTGCAACGGGGCTGCTAGCATCCATGTGTGCAGATGGAGACGGGCCTCGAGGTATCCGTGCTCGTGCTGCTCGCTGTGTCTCGCACCAGGTTTGCAACTGCAGCAAAGCCATGCGTGCTCCTGGGCGAAGCTGTCACACCGCTGACTGACACGGGTCCCTGGTTCGGGAGGAAGCTGCCTGTCAGCCACCCTTGTGCTGTTAACTTGGGAAACCCCCCTCGTCTCCCCGAGCGAATGCCAACTGCTGATGGTTATGTGAAGGCATGGAACCTCGCTACCTTCTCTGCATGAGCGTGCGTCGCCGTTGCCCCCTGCGCAAGGGCTGGGAGCTGGCAGCAGCTGTGTGCAGCACTGGGGTAACCGCTGTGCTCCTCTCCCTGCAGCTGAAGAGGTGGATCACCCCCCCAGTGATGCGGGTATGGGGGTCGACGTGCTGGAATCGGGCGACACCACACCTCCTACCAAGAGGAAAAGCAAGTTCTCAGGCTTCGGCAAGATCTTCAAACCTTGGAAGTGGAGGAAAAAGAAAAGCAGCGATAAATTTAAAGAGACTTCAGAAGGTAAAGGGGGGGTGGGAGGGTCCCTTTTCCACCTGGGAGACCTGCAGCTAGCGAGGAGGCCTGAGGGCTGGCACGTGTGAGAAGCAGAGCAGGGATGGGTGGTGGGCCGGCACCTGCAGTCTCTGCTGAACACCTTGCCATGTAGTTTCAGACAAACAAATTCCTTCCTGGAAGGAACCTCCCCAGGCTGCTGTGCAAGGGAGGCATTGCTCAGGCCTGAGCGCGCAGTCCCCCCGCCCTCTCATTAATCTGTACCATACAATGAAACCTGAAGCCCTTTCATTTCCTCTGCAGGACCTGTCTTTTAAAAAGAAAAAAAAGCCGTATCTTCTTGAACTTCTGTCCTGCCCTGTTTTCTGAGTGCTTTTTTTTTTTTTTTTTAATTTAATACCAGTTTTAGAACGAAAGATTTCAATGCGAAAGCCAAGAGAGGAGCTGGTAAAAAGAGGGGTTCTGTTGGAAGACCCTGAGCAGGGTGAGTCTGCAAACCAACTTATCCTCACCTGTCTGTGTTCTGTGTAGCTCACCTTCCTCTGGCAAAACCTCACCGTTCAGCCCTTCCGGGAGGTGAATCTGAGGGCTCTGTGCTGGTCTGGTTCCTGCCTGTCCGTCTCACCCTTTTCAATACCTCTCTCATCTGACTGTGCTGGTCAGGAAGGCAGTGTGCTCAGTTAGGAGGACGTTCCCAGGGAGTGCAGCCCCCGTCCTGCTGCCAGTGGGGAGGGCAGGGCCGTCCCTTGTGTCACCCCATCATGTCCCTCTCGTGCCTGTCCTGCTCCAGCCTCTCTGTCCCATCCTGCCCAGCCCCCATCACCACGGGCTCAGCCTCTCTGGTTTGTTCTGACCGTGCTCCAAGCTGCACTCCGTCCATTGCAGGAGAGGCAAACCTCAGAGTTCAGGTTTGAAGGCTCTGGGTTTGGAAAAAGAAAGCATCTGATGTCTTCAGGCTGCCTGGGCAGGGGAGTTTCCTCCAGGGGCTGAAGATGGGAACCTTCGTGGTACGGTGGTACAGCTGATCACAGCTAAGATTTCCCTGCCTTCAGAGAAACCTTCCCTGCTTTCTGCCATCCTCGATGGCTGAGCTGGGGCCACACTGTCAGGATACCTTTTCAAGCAGATCTGCTCACCTGGCTGTGCTGGGAGGTGTTGGGCACTGCTTTGGGTGGCAGCGTGGCCTGTGGAGCAGAGCAGTGCATAACTACCTCGAAAGCCACGCTGCAGAGTTAACCTGATGCAAATGTCAGGGTTCTTCTAAGGAAGATACAAAAGTGGAAGTGAAAAAGTGGTTTTCAGTCCGAGCTACGGAACGCTGGAGTTAAAACTGACAGGGTTGCTTGCAGCTGCCCTCTAATAAGAGCCACCTACAGCAACCCGAGGGTGTAAGTGATGGGCTGCAGGAAGGATTCGCTGTGGTGCAAAAGCATGTGAGGTCATGGGGTGAAACTGGAAGAGAGATCAAAGGCTCTGTGCAACAAACTTCCAACCAGTGGTGGCAGAAGAGAGGTCTTCCAAACTGTGAGGGTGTAAGAGAAGCGTGGCTGCAAGGGGGGGCAACTTTCTGCTTTCAGTCATCTGATCGGGCTTAAGAAACAGAAGATGATTATGATCTGAATAAAGCATAAAGCCAAGGTACGAGGGAGCGATCGATATTGTCAGGAGGGCCAGATTAGGAAGCGCGTTATCTTAATCCCTCACTTCCATGACTGTTAGACAGCGGGGCAGTCATAAGGTGATGAGGTAGGTTGTTCTATTTGCAGTTTCAAAACCTGCTCTTATGAGGTCGGTTAATTTTCTTAGGCAAGTTGGCAGTGACAAGAAATCCAGAAACCTTTAGGGAGGAGACCTGTGCTGCTGCTCCTGAGCCTGGTGGAGGCCCTGGGAGTGGAGTGCGGGGTGAAATGGTGTGAGGAGGGCAGCAGGAGCACCCTGCTCTGCTTGAGAAGGGCACGGCAGGTGTGAATGACTAAGGGGAAGCAAGAGCCTGCTGGTCTGCCTCCCCTGCTGAAAGCTTCGGCTTTGCCAGAGGCAATTACTGCTATAAAAAGCTGCAGCTCATCTCTTGAGTTTCAGCCCCGGCTGGGGAGGAAACTCCCTCTTGCTGCTGTCTGCGCTTCCTGCATTTCAGGGCAGAGCTGCTCTGCATCTCCTTGCAGGAACCAGCGCTGTTTTGTTGCAGAAAAGAAAACCTGGCGAGCTTTCAGCTTGACGCTTTGTGTTCAGATCCTGCATAACACCTTGGTGTGGGGAAGGAGGTCTGGGGAACCAGTGCAAAGCTGGAATGGCACATAGTAGGTCTGGCACCTCGCAGGCACTTGATGCTGAGCCGTAATTGTCTGAGAGATGGCAGGCTGAAAACGCCGAGATTCTTTAATCAAACTCGTTTTTACTCAAGTTTTCTTGAGAAGGAAAGTAGTCACAGAATCATAGAAGACCAAGGTCAGAAAGGACCTCCAAGATGGTCCCATCCAATCGTCCACCTACCACCAGTATTCCCTCACTAACCCACATCCCTCACTACAACGCCCAGACAGGCATCCAACAGTCAGAACAGGCGCTGCCCCGTCACAGTGGAGGTGGGGTGTTTTGCAAAGAGCAGAACGTGATCTTTGTGCCGAATGCAGGGTTGGAGTCGTAAGGAAAGAGGAGGTGCTTCAACACACGTTAAGGCACTGTCAGCATCTGCTGCTTCATGTGCAGTGACTTGGCTAGTGCTGGATTTTGTACTGCAGCACACGATGTGTGACTGCTCCTGAGGTGGGTTGGTGTGGAAGCTGCTGGAGCTTAGCTGTGATTGCAGCTTCCTACTGCATTGGTTTTCAAGCGTGGTGGCATTCTTTCTAAATAAGGTGGGAGATTAAGGAGCTGCTGAAGAAAGCCCTGCTTGCTGGGGTACAGTACTGCACTATTCTGCTTGCTGCTAGTGAAACAAAGAGCTCTCAGCCCAACTCCAGCTGCTGCTGCTGTGCTCTCCTCTGCACAAGGCAGACTGAAGGTCTGTTCCTGAAACCAGGGAGAAACCAGTGCGGGTCGATTACAGCTCACCTCAGCTGTGTCTCCTCTGCCTTGAGCTTCCTGAATGTCTTCTGTCTGCTTCTCTCCTCCCACCCCTTGCAGATGGTGACGAACCAGACAAGGTGAATCCGTCTGCACTGAAGAATGGCCACACAGTGCCCATCGGAGGTCCTGGGGTCGGTAACCTGCACAGCCAGGAAGAGGAGGCCACGAGGTCCTCCAGCCTTAGGAAGTCAGTTCTGGTCGAGGAACCGAAGAAAAGACATGGTGAGAAACCAGCTGCATGCCAGATGGGATTCTTGTAGCGCTGGCTTTCAATTCTCATCTGATTCTTCTCGCCTCCTCGCTGCCTTCTGGTCTCTCATACTGTATCTCTTTGCAGGTTCATCCAGCAGCCATCCCGGTTCCGAATCAGAGCCGCCTCAGGAGCCACAGCCCCGCCAGCCTCTGCTTCCTCCCAAAAGACCTCCCTCCACTTCCCAGGAGGCAAATGAGCTGCAAGGAAAGGATCCCCCACCCGCCAGCAGCGCTGCAAAAACTGACCCCTCCACCACAGCCCCCGCTGTGGCAAAGACAGTCGTTTCCACAGCTGCCTCCTCCCCAGCCCCCAGGACTCTGCCCCCCGTTCTCACCAGTGCCAGCACTACTGCTCCTACGAGTTCCACCAGCACAGCCCCTGCCAAACAGCCTCCCGTCCCCCCACCCAAACCCACCAACAGGAACAGCAGCTCCGTCATAGGTAAGTGCCTGCAGAGTTGCTGCGGTGGGCGTTCTCATGCCTCTGAGAATCTCTTCCTTTATTATGGTATGGATTTGGGGCAGTTTTTCCCCAAAGCAGCCCAGTCTCCACTTGAAAGGTTTTAACCTGGGCACACGTGTGCTGGGACGGTGTCATTATCAGAGCATCCTGCCATAAGCCATCCAGTGTGTCAAACATGCACTCCTCCAGCATTACCTGCAGGAGGGAACCCCTGCCTGCTTTGGTGCAAGGAGAGGCGTTTTAAGATTGTCTTTAAATGCTGATGCTTCGCTCAGAGCTGGGATTCAACTGTGAACAGCTGGGAGTGGTAGATGGCGTGTGACATTTTTGCTGTGCAGAGCTGTAGTCAGTGAGAATCAATGCTTTTAGCATCAGTTAAACAAAAATCCACGTCGTGCCGAGCAGTGTGTGCTATGGCTGCTGTGCTGTGGCTGCTGTGCTGTGGCTGCTGTGCTATGGCTGCTGTGCTATGGCTGGTGTGCTATGGCTGCTGTGCTATGGCTGCTGTGCTATGGCTGCTGTGCTGTGGCTGCTGTGCTATGGCTGCTGTGCTATGGCTGCTGTGCTGTGGCTGCTGTGCTGTGGCTGCTGTGCTGTGGCTGCTGTGCTATGGCTGCTGTGCTGTGGCTGCTGTGCTGTGGCTGCTGTGCTATGGCTGGTGTGCTATGGCTGCTGTGCTGTGGCTGCTGTGCTGTGGCTGCTGTGCTATGGCTGCTGTGCTGTGGCTGCTGTGCTATGGCTGCTGTGCTGTGGCTGCTGTGCTGTGGCTGCTGTGCTGTGGCTGCTGTGCTATGGCTGCTGTGCTATGGCTGCTGTGCTATGGCTGCTGTGCCACGTGCTGGCAGGGGTGGTAGTCAGGCACCTCCTCTGAGCTCTGTGACAGGGCACTGCCATCTTAGTCACGAGTCCTATGACCGTCCCACAGGTGAATGCTCTTGTGTAATTCCAGCTGAATCTTCACACTTAATCTTCACACTTGGAGATACTTAATTCTTCAGCTTTCCAAGGAGGTGATTTGGGGAGAGCTTCTGAAAGCAGAGCGAGGTCCTGCTCTGTTCAGGATGTTGATAGGCCTTAAAGGTGCAGCGCTGCTGGGATAAATGAGACAACTTCAGTCCATGTGTTAAACTGCTGCGTGTCACAGCCCTGCTGACCTCTGGGTTGGGTCACTTAGGGAGGTTCCTGAGCCAATCAGTGAGACACATCTGCACTGTTATCACAGAAACTGGAGGCGTTACCCAGGTGTGGTTGGGGAGGCTGGGAGCCTGCATTGTGTGAAGCAGCCTGAGCCACTGCTTGGAGCACGGGCTGCATCCCTCCGTTCTGTTTGGGGCTTCTTGCTCTAGCAGGTTTAGCAAGCAGCCTTGGTATGGCATTAAACACTCCTGTATGCCAGACCAGCTTGATTAGTCTGACCGTGCCTGAGCACTTGATGAAATACTTTCTTGTTTTCTTTAAGCTGCTTGCACACATCAGAGGTGGTGTTTGAAATGCCCCGTGCTGATTGCAGGAGGAACTGTGGCACAAAAAACGTGGCTGAAGACAGCAGTCTGTCAAAGCTGTGCTCAGCCCCAGCCCCCTCCCACACAGGGCTGCAGGGATGCGGAGGGGAGCAGCCGGCCCTGCAGTGTTCCCTGGGTGCAAATGCAGGTGCAGAGTGGTTTTGCTTCTCTCTGCAGGGCTGTGCGTTCCCTGCACGATGGGCTGTAACTGCTGCATGCGTGCTGTCCCTGCCGTGCAAGCCTCGTTTTGTTGCTGTGGATAAGCAGCAGCAGTGGAATTGGCTTTGTGAGCTCTCTGCCGGTCTCTGATGCATGCTCTGACTCCAGGCACACAGGAGCTGAAAGCAAGGCTCAGGGCTGGGGCAGCAGCTGTGCCGGTCGGTACTGAGGGACCCCCCTCTCACGGAGGGGATGTTTGAGTGGCACCTGACCTTTCTCCATCTCCTCTTCCTTCTGCCAACCGCCCGATCCCTTTCAAAATCTGTCTGCCCTTTCCTAACAGTGACTCGAGCCTGGCCCCACCAGGCCTGGAGCGCTGCTGAGGGGATCCTGAAACTCTCCGGGTCTGAGGCTGATGGGGAGCTGAGGGCATTCGGTGTTTCGCACAATCTGACTCTTAATCTACAAGAGGGAAGTCTAAAAATGCAAAACATCCCAAAAATGCGCTCACCTCTCTGCAGCTATGCAGCCTTATCTCAGCGCAGCTCTCCCGGCTCGCAGCACCCTCTCGTGGTGCCGGGGGCTGCAGGTTCCTCCAGCCCCTGCTTAGGGCCGCCGCTCTGTCCGCCGCCTGCCGGTGGCGCGGTGTCCGTGGGCCGGGTCCAGCAGGGGAGGGGAAAGGTGGAGAGCATCATCTTGCTGCCTGCAGTTCTGCTGACTTTTGCCTTCAGGTGAGATTTCCCCAAAGCTGTTGAATGTGCGAGGGAGTTGTTGACACAGCTGGAGTCCGGGTTGCCGTGGTTGTCTCTGATCCCTTTGCGAACAGAGCTGTGAATGCAGCCACAAAGTGCTCTGCGTACCTTGGCTGAGGCAGGGCTGGATCAGGTCGAGCTCCATCTGCTGTCACTGGAGGGCTGCTGCTGTTCTCCCCGAAGCAGCAGGATGCCCAGACCTCTCCCAGCCTGCTTGGTTCTGGCTGCTCTCCCAAGTCTCACCTTTGCTGGAGGAAGAACAAACTAGAGGCTTGCAATCTGCTTATTTCTGGCACCTGAGTACTTTGCTTGTTCCACACTAGCAAAGGGAATCTGGCAAACACCCTTTGTGTTGTGTTTTTTTGTTTGTTTTCAGCGGAACTTTCCCAAGCAATAAACAGTGGCACAGGCTTGTCCAAGCCTTCCCCTCCTCTCCCACCGAAGAGAGGCCTCCTGCCTACCAACCCACCGGAGGCAGCCCTCCCCTCCAAGCCCCCAGGTGACTGGACAGTGTCAACAAGCCGTCCCGCACTGCTCCCGCTGCACGCGGCGCCCGCCTACCCACCGCCCTCGCCATCCCCACCGCTGCCCACACACATCCCTCCGGAGCCTCCACGCATGCCCTTGCCCAACTCCACCCCTATCTTGGACGCCCCGCGCTCCCTGGACCTGCCCAGGGACACCCCCCCTCCTCCCAAGGACTTCAGGGCCCTGGAGGCGTCGAAGCGGACGGCAGAGCAAGGCTTTGCTGAACCTCCCGGGCTGCCCCGTCTGCCCCAGATCCCTCTGCACATCCGGATCCAGCAGGCCTTGGCCAGTCCCCTGCCCGTCACCCCCCCTGCCGAGGGCTCGCACAGAGCTCACTCCCTGCTCTTTGAGAACGACGGCCTCGGGGAGGACAACGGCACGATGGGCAGGACGAGGTCCCTGCCGGTCACCATCGAGATGCTGAAAGTGTGAGTAGCTGCGAGGCGTGGGGGAGGTTCACAGCGAGGCACAGCGCTGGGCTGTGATGCTGAGAGGCCGCGTGCTGGGCTGGGTGCTGCGTTTTTGCAGCCCTTTTGCCCATTGGCTGAATGCGTTTCAGCCTCTTAGGAACCTGACACGTCTTCTCAGGAAATTCACCCTGATCCTGGAATTTCATCACTCGCAAAGGGAAATGTATTGCAGAGTACAAATGTGGGCCAGGGGTCTGGCCTGGCTTTAATTGCGCTGAGACAAAACAAGATTGGATTTCGCCCATTTGTGGCCTGCGTAGTCTGTTCTTTGCAAAACAGAAGTGGGAGGAGGACTGTCCTGTGTTATAACAGAGCTGAACTCAGAAGTCTCGAGGCTGGGTAGTGAGAGGGCAGTTTTTCTGCAGTGTCTCTGGCCTTTACCCTGTGCTTTGGAGAGAGAGGGGATGGTGGGGCATCGCGAGGCTGGGCTGCTCTTCCTGCTCGGGTTCCTGGGCTCCTCACTGTCCAGCCTTCAGAGCGGAGCCAACAGGGCATCATCTGTGGGGTGTGCAAAGAGATGTAATAGTGTGCTTCTCGTTAGTCCAGACGATGAGGAAGAGGAAGAGGAGGACCAGGAGGAGGAGCAGAATTCAGGCCCACGTGTGTACATCGGGGAGGCGCCGTCCATCACCGTCATCCCAATGCTGGTGCCTCAGGTCCTGCCGGAGGAGCAGGAGGGAGAGGAAGGGATGAGCGACTCTGACTCGGAGGGGCCCATCCTGTACAAAGACGAGGAGGAGGATGAGGAAGAAGATGAAAGCCATAACAGTAAGGCTTTGACATTGCAGCTGTCCTTTTCTTTCTCGGCTGAGCTTCTGCCCGGCTGTGTTGAGCTCGGTATCAGCAACAGCTCACACAGCTTCAAAGCAGCTGCTCCTGGTTTCTGACGCACCACGTGTCCTCTCCCCTACCTTTTCAAAGGCTACGGCAGCCAAACCTTTATGCTCACCTGACGAGATGCTGCCCCTCCAGCTGCAGGTTGCTGATCCCCCTCTAGCTGCAGGCAGCCTGTGCTGTCCCACCCCGTCAGCTGGAGGGGCATCGCACAGGGATGCTGGCTGTTGCTGTAGTGTTCAGACCCAGCAAGTTGGGAGCTGTAGTGAGTGGGAGAGCAAGGCCTAGGGGAAGCACAGCTGCCAGTGGCTCATTTCGCTGCTCTCAGGCACTGCAGTCTTCAGTCCTGTCCCATCCCTCTCCCTCCCCGCAGGCACGCTGGCTAACAAAGTGAAGAGGAAAGACACGCTGGCTATAAAGCTGGGGAACGCCACCACGGTGCAGGAAGAAAAGATTGTCTTCCCTCGGAAAAGCAAAGAGGAGTGGAATGAAATTCGGCAGCAGATCGGGACGACGCTGATCAGGTAAAGGAATGGAGGAGGCTGGTGTGCTTGAACCGTGGGCAAACCTGCTGCTTGTCCAGGCAGCCTCTGCTGCAGCGTGGCAGGTCTTCTGGGCAGGTTGGGCAGGGCTTCTGGGTCAGGGCTGCAGGCTCAGTGTTGCTTTCCCCTCAGTTACCAAGGCTGGAAGTCTCTCCTGGAGCGGAGCACTTAAGCAGTGTCTCCTAACAATGCTGCTTACAGATGTTAGATGTGTTGGGAGGGGAGAATCTCAAGGACTACAGAAGCTGTACAATACGGTTGGCATATAAAGATGTGAACAGCTGCAGGCTGCGTGCTGATGCTCAGGCTGTTGATATTCCAGCCTGTCTGCTTGACAGCACTGACAAGTTATCCATGAGCTTCTGTCGTGCCTTCCTGGCTTGGGCCTGTGGCTGAGCTGCTGATGGAGTGGAGAGGAGGAGAGCCCCAAGCAGGACAGCAGTGGCTGCTGGTCTTTGTGCCCCACTGATGAGCAGATAACACACGATGCTCTTGCCATGCTTTCCTTTAGGCGACTGAGTCAGAGGCCCACAGCAGAAGAACTGGAGCAGAGGAACATTCTTCAGCGTGAGTAGCGCTTCTCTAGTGGCTCTGAGTAGCAAAATAAAAGCTGCCTTGTCTTTCATCTGACATTTTAGTCCAAGTGTGTGTGGAGTCTGCTTGAAACGTAGCAACAGAGGCCTGTGCTTTGGTTGTATCACTGTAGTAGAGCCGTTCTGCTGATTTCTACTGACTGGTGAAAATCAGACCGAGGCAGGGATAAAACACATTACAGTTCAAAGCACCCCGTTATGGAAAGTCCCATCCTCTGCCTGACAGCTCAGGGAAAGGTGTGCAGATTTAAGGCTGCTCTGAAGTTGTACAGCAGAGTTTTTGTTTGGGCTGGCCTTCTCTTTGTGGCCCAGACGTTACAGCATTGTACTGCACGATCCAAAAAGGTCATCGTTCAGCAAGTGCTGTTTCTTTTGGCCATACCTTGTTCTGCAAAAGTTTTAAATAAACACACTGGGGAAAGGGAAACGTTAGTTCAGGAAGCTTTAAATATTTATCCGCACTGCTTTTCTCTTCACAACTATTACTATAACAGCTTGGGGGAGGAGCAGTCCGCAAAGAGGTTTTGAGGGAATGGCCGTTAATCTTAAATACACAGAAAGCTGGAGAGAATGACCATTCACACCGTGAAGGCCCACAAGACCACTGGCATTCAGTGGGCTGCTGGTGAGGAAGGGTATGGACAGAAGGCGCTTCTTGTGATGCTTATGGGGGAAAAAAAACCCACGTTTGTTTGTTTTTTCCACTTGGCAGCGAAAAATGAAGCTGACCGTCAGGCTGAGAAGCGAGAGATCAAACGCAGGCTCACCAGAAAGGTACTGCAGGCTGCCGTGCCGCGATGGCCATCTGGCAGGGCTGTGGGGGTCGGTGGTGGCCGCGAGGTGCCTGGCTGTGGCTGAAGTCACGGGGCTGTTGTGTAATTGTCCCCAGCGCCCTCTGACCGCGGCCACTTTGGAATGTGGGTTGTCAGAGCTCTTGGCACCGCAAACAGGTTTGGCACGGACAGATCGGAGCTGGTGTCAAGTGTAACAGGCTAGATGGGAACTAAATTTGGCAGCTGGCACTTGAAAGCGGCCTGTAGAACCATAATTCAGTGGCTGCCATGTTGACATCAGGCTCCTCGAAATCCATTTCCAAAGTAACAACAGCTGGAGAGAAGTCGTGCAGAGCAGCGGCTGCTGTAGCTGTGGCGCCCGGGTTACAGAGTGCTGTGCTGGGGAAGAGCTTCCCATCAATGCCAGTGTCACTCAGTGTCTGTGGTTCAGGACCAGTGAGGGAACTGCTCTTTGCTGTGTGATGGTCCTGAGCTGCTCCGGGGACAAGGCACAAGCTGTTGTCGTTCTTGTGTTCAGCTTAGCCAAAGGCCTACAGTGGCAGAGCTGCAGGCCAGGAAGATCCTGAGGTTTAACGAGTATGTGGAAGTAACAGATGCTCAGGACTACGACCGGAGAGCAGATAAGCCATGGACAAAGCTGACGCCTGCTGACAAGGTAACAGGGCCCTGGCCCCAGGGAGGGGGGGAGTCGGATGTCCCAAACAGAGGGTGAGAGCCAAGGTGAACTGCTCTGTTCCTTCCACCTCTGGCACCCACCCACTGCCAGCAGTGCACGTTCACCCTTGTGTGCTGGACTCAGCCCTGCTTCCTGTCCCCTCCAAGGGGACACAAGCCTGCACATCTGCCCTGTAGTGGCTTCTGAGTGATGATGTAAGAGGATGCAGGGTACAGGGTGTGGGTTCCTCGCAGGCTGAAGCAGGCTTAGGCAAGCTGGCAGGGAAGATACCTGTTGTCACCTTCCCTGGCCTCCTGTGGGGACTGCCCAGCCCTGGGTGCGGAGGAGGTGGAGCAGCTTAAACAGCTGTGAAGTGACTGCGAAAGGTGGGGTGGCTGCTGCAATTTGAGCTTCTTCCTCTACCTAAAGATGCTGAGGGATTCAGGCTTATGTTTAAAATCTGCTGTTACTCTTCACTTTACCACCAAAAGATGGTGTCAGCCCAGAGCGGGGCCACAGTGCCTTCTTCCCATGCCTAAAGCTCACTTAAAATGGGGATAGAGGGTGGTGTGCTCTAGCAGGAGGTAACAGCTCTCTCTCTTCTCATGCAGGCTGCCATCCGGAAGGAGCTAAATGAGTTTAAGAGCTGTGAAATGGAAGTCCACGAGGAGAGCAAGCAGTTCACACGGTGAGTGAGCACAAACCCTTGTGGTGCCTATGGTATCAACCCTAGCAGGGTGCACTGTACCTCAAGGTTCATGGAGTGCTGAGTTTCTGCTTCTAGGCTCCATGTTGCCTGCTTATCTAGGAAAAACAATATTCCCTAGACAGAAGTAACCTGTGTATCGTGGCCCCTCGTGGCTGAGCTGTGTTTGCAGATTATGAGAGCTTTCTAAAGCAGAGATGAAAACTTTGGATGTTAACAGCTTCACCGAGGGCTGAAAGTTCACAGATAATTCAGTTTATTCTTATCAGTGATCTATAGTGCTTCAGTAACTGCTTAACCCAAAGTTCCAAGGATGACACTTGGCTTTTTCACTTGGCTTTTAGGTACCACCGACCTTAACCTTCCAAGGGGGAACAAGAGAGCCAAGAGGACTGGAAGTTCTCTGCATCCCTCTCCTGGGCAATACAGCGAGGGCAGAACCTCGACCCTTCCAAGATTTGCCTTCCAAACGAATCCAGAAAAGGGCTTTCAGCCAGGGAAGGGGGATCCTGTCTGAATGTAGCATTTCACTGGAACAAACACGTCTCGAGTGCCATCAGGCTGGAACTGAACACTATACCTCGTGCAGCTCAGCAATACGCCTCTCTTCTGGCTCCAGCATCCCTGCCAGACCGTGCACACATGAGCAAACGGTTCCTTCCCCAGCTGCCTTGCTGCGGTGCCAGGCCCAGCTCTCGGCTGCACGTCCTCCTTTTAGGAGCAGCCCCTTTGTGTCCTCCTCCTTAGCAAGAGGAGGAAAAAACAGCTCTGGTGCTGGAGAGCTGAGGAATGGAGATGTGCTAGGAGACACGTGTGTGTGTTTGCTGTGTGCAGACGCTGTCCTGGCAGACGACTGACATCAGACTCGTTGTTTTTTGGCTTTGCTTACGTCTGTCGTTACCTTTCATGTTCTGAATCACTACTGACCAACCGTTTGTTGTCCTGGAAGGGAATTGTATAGATATTAACATATGCTGCGTCTTTTTTTTTTTTTTTTTTTTTTTTTGGTAAAAAACACAAAAAATCTACAAAAAAACAAAAACAAAAACCCAAGCAAAATGAAAACACAAAGATACAAAACATTCCCTCCCCACTCTCTCACACTCGCTGTGATGCTAATGGAATCGTATTGAGATCACTGTGCTCATTTAACAAGTGACAGAACCGGGAAATGACTGTTGCCTTTTACAAACTCTTTAATTTGAGGAAGCTGTGATCGCAGCCAGTGCTTTTTATTGCTGCTTCCTTTCCCAAATCAGGGTTGAACTTGCCTTGTCTCATTTTTACAGCAAAACCTACTGGAAACTTGATATCACTGTGCAGGCAGGAGGTTTGAAAAGTGACCTTAAAAATAGTTATCGTGCACAACACAAAGGTGATGGCACTGACGTGAAGGGAGGATCACAGCACTGCAGGGCTGTGGGGAGGGGAAGGCCTGGCCTGGCTCAGCCCCTGCTGAGCCCTCACAGCTTCCCCACGTACAGCACGGCTGTAGCCTACAATCATTTGCGTTGTATATCTGTCTCCTCAACAGATTTTAATTATTGAATAAAAGTATTTTAGGATTTTTTTTTTATTATTTTTATTTTTTTTAAACTGCTGCAGCGGTCGCGTTTACGGATGACCTTTGTGCACGTGCGTGTCTCGGGCTGCCTCACGAACGCTACCGCCCCTCACGGAGGATCCCGCAGTTCCCGCCTTCATACTGCGCATGCGCGCCTGCCGCTCCCGCCTTCCCACTGCGCACGCGCAATCCGCCCGTTCCGTTCCGCCGTGCCGCTTTGCACACGGCCCGCTGCGTTCTACTCATTGCGCCTGCGCGATCAGGCTCCGCCCCCACTGGTTCTATAAATACCGGCGCAGAACAGTATTCGCCCTCTTTTCACGGCGAGCGGCGGAGTGAGCAGGTGAGGGGGAGGGAGGTGGGCAGGGCGCGGCCTGATCTTGTTAGCTCTGGTCTTGCTTTTGTAGTTTGTATTTTCTGCTTTGTTTTCTACTTGTGTGTTCTGTGGTGGCTTTAAGGGTTGCTGGGGCCAACGCTCCAGGCCCCGACAGCCCTCACAAGCGTTTCTCCTCTCCCCTAGGCCTGTCGCGCTGCCTCGCGGCCTTGCCCCACCCGCTGCCGCTGTGAGTATCGCTGCATTCCATTTGTCCGGAGGGGGGGAGGCGCACGGCCATGACCCAACGAGGACACCCGGAGAAGTAGCTCTCTCTCGGCTCTGTCCGTGTGGCGCACGGGAGCGTAGGCCTTCGGGCCCGAGACGTATATTCCCCTTCCACGTCGTTGGAGAACAAGCCGGGCCTCGTGCCTGCAGCCTGCATATTCCTACTGCTTCTCTGAGCCCTCGGGCAATGACAGAGGAGATAAACCATGCAGGAAACACATCCTTGCCGAGCGGGTTTGGGGTCTGCAGAGCTCATCTGCTGATAGGAATAAGGACAGCGCTGGTTGTGGGTGAGCCCCGCAGCGCTGCGCGCTCTGTATGGAGCGTAGTGCTGGGATATCGGGGCAGAGCAGGGGCGGGGGGATGGTGGTCACGCACTGGGAGCACGTGGCTGTGCTGTAACCGATGAGCACATCTCTGGGTTAGCAGAATGGAGCGTATTGCTTCCTGCCACGCAAAAAGTAGTGAAATCCATTTGCGACTTAAGTAATTAAGTTTCCTTGATGCTTTTGTTGTTGCAGACGCTGAAGGTTTGTAGTTGAATGTCAGCAGCTGTGTCTGCAGTGACGGTGAGTATGTACTGAGCACAGCGGTGTGAGTGGTGGCAAAAAGATGAATGTGTCTGAGGTGTGCGATCCAACCTGGGCTGTGGAGTTTGGAGCAGTGTGGAAGGGGCTGTTGGGGGGTATCAGACCACATGCTTCACGCTGCTCCTCGCCCCCACCTCAAGCAGTGCTGATCCAGAGGTGCCCCTTGTTGCACCTGGGGTTTGTGTGGTCCAACACAGCGGGGTCTGAGCCCGTGTGAGCGAGCTGTGTGTGAGCAGAGCGTGCAGGAGCTGCTGGGCTCGGTGGGTGCCTCGTTACACCGGCTGGGAGAAACAGATCTTTGAGCAGCACCGTGTGCTCCTCCACCCAACAAGGAGGCTGAGAAGCAGAGGCAGCTGCTGAGGAAGAACCGGTGCTGGGGAGGAGGGCTGCAGTGGGAATGCTGTGCAAGATGGGCGCAGCAGGTGCTGCGTGTCCGTTTGGGGAGGTCTGAATTTGCTCTGTGAGCGTTGTGAGATGTATCTGCATCAGTGCCTGACAAATAAACGACTTCTGAAACGCCGCTGTGTGGTTATTTTCTGTGGTGTGGCTGCGAGCTGCTGGGTCACCTGGAGCTCAAGAAACCAACAAAACCTTTAAGATTTCAGAGCTCTGTGGGGTTGGGTTGCCCACCCCTCTTTGGGAGGCACTCGGAGCTGGCGCAGGAGCTCGCAGCTCTGCGGTCGGTGATGCTCCGTGTGTTCCGGTACCAGCAGGCAGTGATTCTGTGCCCTTTGCGACCAGAACTGCTTGCTGGTGTAGGGCTGAGTGGGTCGTTGGGAGTGGGAGGAGAGTGTTGGACCTGTTTTAGGGATGGAAGTTGTCATTGCTGGTAAGCATACTTAGGTGTTGTTTCCCTCTGTTAAGTGAAGGACTTAAAGGCTGCTTTTATACCCGTTGGCTGCTTTTATCGGACCTTTGAACGTTTGGAACCGGACTGTAAGTAGCTTCGCTTTATGGGAACGCTCCGCAGGTGGTTCGGGGAGCAACAGCCCGGCTGTGGTGCTGGGAAAGGGGGATGTGGTGGGCTTCAGGAAAGGGGGATTGCTAGGAGGGGAGAACGGCTGAGCCGGGGGGGCGGGGAGAAAGAACCGAAGGGTTTGGGTGGGGGAGGATGGGGAGCCGATCCCTGCGGTGCGCTGCGGTTCTCCGGATCGTTCCGGGGGGAAAAAGCGAGATCAGGTGAGAGCCGGGAGAAGCGCCGTACGGACGTTCGCCGTCTTAGCGCGAGGTGTTGGGGGATTTTTAGGCTCCTCCTGCGAAGATCGGCCCGGGATGGGAGGGACGGAGCCTCCCGTGCCCTGCGGAGGCGGTCCCGGACCTCCGCGGCCGCCAGGGGGCGCTGTGACGCCCGCCGTGCCCCGGCGCATGCTCCGGGCGGGGAGCGCGGGGCCGGGAGCGGCGGCGGCGGAGCGGCGGAGGTGGGTGCGCGGCTATGGGGAGGGGGGGAGCACGGAGCGGGGCTGGAGGAGGGGGTTGGAACGGGGTGGGGGTGGGGAGGGGTCCGCGTGGCCTTGCCGTTCCCGGAGCCGCTCGGTCCGTCCGCTCGTGCTCGGGAAAGGCCGGGCCTGCGCTGCCCCACGTGGGGAGGGGAAGTGGTGGAGTTTGGGGTGGGGGGAGGGCGAGCGGGAAGTTCGAATCCGCGGCTCCGCGCGCGTTCCTGGGCTGGGAGCGGAGCCCTCGGTGCTTCCTGCGGTGCGGGCGCGGCGTGGTTGGCGGCAAAAAGCCGCGCGGCCCCCCGGCCCCTTCGGCAGCCCGTGTGATGTGGGCGGTGCGGTTGATGGGAACGGGGTGCGGGGCCCCCCGGGGGTCGTTCTGCTTCCCGAGCCGTGCGGTGGGGCCGGGTGGGATGCAGTGTGCTGGGGGCAGGGCGCTCAAAGTCCCAAAGCTTGGGGTGCAGTCTGGCTCTGCAGCGTTCCGTGGTGCAAAGAGTGCAGGGGGTTCATTTCTGCACGAGTGCATTGGGATAAAACGTGAAAAAGTGACCTGTGTTTTCTCAAAGCGGGAGGACAGATCGGTGTCTGAGTCCTCAGGCAGTGCCTTCAGTGAGATCCGGACTGCAGCAGAGGGGACACGCAGGGATTGTCTCCAGGAAGGCCAACCGACAGCTGCACCGCAGCACTGCAGCGCTCTGCCGGCTGGGCCAGGCCTGAACAGAGCAGCTTTCATTGCTCAGATCCCAACCAACATGTCTGGAAAACGTGCTGCCAAGAAAAACCCCGTGTTGGAGCAGTCACCCGAAAGGAAGAAGCTTAAAAGTAAGAGAACTCCCTGGGCAGGTTCGTAATTCCCTGCGCTTTTCCCTGCGGCTCCATCTGTCCTTTCTGCCCTCAGTCAGCCACCCGTCGCACCGCACGCAGCCCGGCCTGGTGCTCGTGTTGGGCCAGGGGGACGTCGGGCAGCTGGGCCTGGGGCAGGACGTGATGGAGAGGAAGAAGCCGGCCCTGGTGCAGCTGCCGGAGCTGATGGTGCAGGTGGAGGCAGGAGGGATGCACACCGTGTGCCTCAGCGAGACGGGCAAAGTGAGTGAGCACTGGGGGCCGGGGGGAGCTGGGTGGGGGGCTGAGCTGCTCCTGCAAGCATAGGGAGCTCGGCTGTGTCCTGGAGCGGGGTTTGAATCACGGCTGTGGCTGGTGCTGGGGCTGGGGCTGCAGTTTCCTTCCCCCGGCTCCCAGATGGTGCCCTGGACCTGGGAATTTTGGGGGTGTGGAGGGATAATTCAGCCTGCTGTGTCCCGTGGCTCCGTGAGCATCCTGTGGAGCTCCTGTGTCCCACCCTCTCTTTACAGATCTACACCTTTGGCTGCAATGACGAAGGCGCCCTCGGGCGCGACACCTCGGAGGAAGGGTCGGAGTGCACCCCAGGACCTGTGCAGCTGCAGGAGAAGGTGGTGCAGGTCTCTGCAGGGGACAGCCACACGGCCGCGCTGACGGATGACGGCAGGGTTTTCATCTGGGGCTCTTTCCGGGTACGTTGGCTGTTTGGAAAATCACTGGAAGCTCTGCTGCTGGCGGCTGGGAGGCGTCTGTGACTCATTTCTGTGCACCCGTGTGTCCACCCAGGATAACAACGGGGTGATCGGGCTGCTGGAGCCCATGAAGAAGAGCACCGTTCCTGCGCTGCTTCAGCTCAATGTGCCCGTTGTTAAAATTGTCTCAGGTCAGCAATGGGCACTCAGAGGGCAGGCTGTTCAGCCTTGGGCAAGGGGTGAAGGTCACACAGAATCGCAAGGTTGGAAGGGACCTCAAGGATCACGGAGCTCCAACCCCCTGCCACACGCAGGGCCACCAACCTCCACATTTCACAGCAGCCCAGGCTGCCCAGGGCCCCATCCAACCTGGCCTTGAACACCTCCAGGGATGGACGGGGCATCACAGCCTCTCTGGGCAGCTGTTCCAGCACCTCATCGCTCTCATAGCACAGAACTTCCCCCTCACATCCAACCTCAGTTTTCCCTCCCTCAACTTCAAACCATTTCCCTTGTCCTGCTGTTATCAACCCAGAGAGTTCCTTTCCTATTTCCTCTTTTCACTGCACTGAGCTGGGTGCAAGGATGGGCTTCACTGGGTCATCTAGCCCTAGTGTTAGTGTCAGATTGGGTCAAATACTAACATGCTTTACAGTTAGTTAAGAGTTATTCTACCGTTTAGGTTAACAGTTGATTGAAAATGCTTTGCAGTTCATACCCCTCCACAGGGTGAGGGCACTCACGCTTTCTAGATCTGGGGAAGCCAAGCAGAGCAGCCAGGGAGTTTGTCCAGGATCCAGGTGAGGTTGGGGGGCTCCTGTGCCTCTGAACCATGCAGTGAAACCTTTCCAATGGGGAACCTCTGCCAAGAAGAGATCTTAGATGTGTCGAGCGATCCTGAAGCAGCCAAAGGCCACAGAATCCTGGAAAGCTTGGACAGATGGGACTTCAGTGCAGGATGCCCCCCCCGGTGGGATCAGCTGCGCTCACCTCCCGTGTCTCTTTGCAGGGAACGACCATCTGGTGATGCTGACGGTGGATGGCGACCTGTTCACGTGTGGCTGCGGCGAGCAGGGCCAGCTGGGCAGGGTGCCTGCACTCTTTTCCAACAGAGGAGGACGGAAGGGGCTGCGTGAGTGGCTTTGGTGCTCAGAGACGTTCGGGGCTGTGGCGAGCAGGCTGTGAACGTGGGCTCTGTGCACAGCTTTGCTGAGGAGCAGAGGCTCTCTGTCTCTTCCTTGGCAACTCGAGGGCTTGTTTGTCAATCGGTCGCTTAAATCCAATGATTTGCAACGGAGAGCAGAGGAAAAGAGTGTAAATCATAAGCTCTCCTATGATGCCTTGTTTCTTGTGCCCAGAGCGCCTGCTGGTCCCCCAGCGTGTCCCTGTCAGAGGCAAAGGCAAGATGCGCTTCCAGGATGCCTTCTGTGGGGCTTACTTCACCTTTGCCATCACACGGGAAGGACACATCTATGGGTTCGGCCTCTCCAACTACCACCAGCTGGGTGAGATTTGTTTGTGTCCCTGCAGATCTCCTGCCTTTGCTGGGGCTCCAAAATGCCCTGAGCCCACCATGCACACCCAGTGCCCATTGCAGGACGTGTGGGAGCTGGAAATTGCGCTTGGGGCTCTGGGTTTAATTCCCAGCCCCTTCAGCTGCTGGATGTGAGGAGAAATATAACTGGGACTGGGGGAGCAGGGCTGGGCTGGGCTGCCATCAGTGGGATCAGCCCTGTGAGGGTGGCTCAGTGCTGTGCCTGATGTGCTGGGCTTTGTGCATCTCGCCCTGCAGGGACCCAGAGCACCGAGCCCTGCTTCTCCCCACAGAACCTGACATCCTTCAAGAACTCCACCAAGTCCTGGGTCGGGTTCTCTGGCGGGCAGCACCACACCGTGTGCGTGGACTCAGAGGGTGAGCAGCAGTGGGATGGAGGGGCTGCCGAGCAGAGCGGGGCTCCCGGGGATCCCAGTCCTTTGGGGGAGATGTTGGGGTGAGGGTGAAAGGCTGAAACGCGCTGAGTCCTTGGTGCTTGAGGCAGCACGGCGGTTGTGTCTGCGACGAGCTGTTGGAGGTGCTGTTTGGCTTTTGCAGAAATGTACTCTTGTTGAAAAGGTGGCTCAAATTTGAAACAAAGTGCAGGGATGATGACAGAAACCCCCTTCCTAGAGTCCTGTATCCCACTGGGGAGCCCAGGGTCAGATCGAGGGTTTGCTGAGGGATGTGGTGGGGAGGAGTGATGCTCCCAGCTCCTCCAGCATCAGACCTGGGGCAGGAATGGTCTGGCTCCAGCTTCCTGTGGTCTCTGCCCTCCTCACTTCACCTCTCCTGCTCTCTGTTGTGCCCTAGGTAAGGCTTACAGCCTGGGCAGGGCTGAGTACGGCCGGCTGGGCCTCGGGGAAGGGGCAGAAGAGAAGAGCACACCCACTGTCATCCCAGACCTCCCCAGCATCTCTTCCGTCGCATGTGGCGCATCGGTCGGCTATGCTGTCAGCAGTGATGGTGAGTGCTGCGGCCTCCCTGCCATGGGGGGCTCAGGAGCTGCCCTGTACCCTCA